ATATATAATGGTTACTTTACGAAAGCATGCCTTTGTTCCCTAGCCTTTTTCTTGAAAATGAGAATTTAAGGCTTATAAGAGTATGAACTTAATAGATTTCTTAGTGATAAATATTGGTGGTTAAGACTTCGTATTACCTCATTTTCTCTATTTTAATCTGAAAACCCTAAATAAATTCATATAAAAGATGCCAACTTTATGGTACTTGATTTCGTATTATCAAATTTTCGACATTGAAATCAATATCTCAAGTTGGCACCGATCAATTCAATTTTGGGGATAAATAGGTTTTGAAACAGTGATTTTTTTTAAAAATATGTAGTTAAAAAAATAATTAAAAGTTCTGCATTTATATGTAAAATTATTTTATAAGAGAATTTATGGTTGAAAATGAGCCACTATTTAGTAACCATTATTTAAAAACTTTTCTCATACTCATTTTTAACTATATATCCTCACAATAAAACATTGTTTACGTAAATTCAAAAATTTTTCTTAGCCTCTGTTTGGTGGTCATTTTTTGAAAAAAAATAAAAATAACAATGTTTTAAATTGTAATTTTTTGGAGAATATGTAGTTAAAAATATGGAAAAAATTTGGATTTACATGTAAAATATTTTATGGTGTGAACATGTGGTTGAAAATAAGTATGTAGAAAAAAGAGTTTGGAAAGAATACAAGACAAACTACGGCTTACTTTTTAATTACACTTTTTTCAAAAAATCACTATTTAAAACATCAATTTTACACAAATAATGACTGAAATATGGGTCAAATAAACAATTAACTAATTAAAGTTTAGAGATGATTTTTTTTTTTTTTGTTTCAGTATCTAAAGCTATTTTTTTATGCAATCAAACATGTTAAAAACTTTTTGCCTCTCTTCTATATATGTGAAGTCACAAAATGTCGTGACACTGAACTATACTTTGCGATCATATGTCAAAATCAAATCTACATTTTTATCTCGTACTATCTCCATAATAAAACTTAAAAACTTTGCGCTTGAATTAATACTGTTTGGAAAGCATAACGCGCATGATCTCTCGAATTTTTCCAATTTTATTTC